TTTTGCAGCTACTGTGGAAAACAATATGAAGGTTTCTCAAAAAAGTAAAAATAGATCTATTATATGATTCAGCAATTCCACTTTGGGGTATTTATCCAAAGAAAATAAAGGCGCTAACTTGAAAAGATATATGTACCCCCATATTTACAGCAGCATTATCCACAATAGCCAAGATATGGACACAACCTAAGTTCCCACCAACAGATGAATGGATAAGAAAGATGTGATATCTATATCTATATATACATATACACAATGAATATTATTCAGCCATTAGAAAGAAGGAAATTCTACCATTTTCAACACTGATGTACCTTGGGTAAATTATGCTAAGTCAAAAAGAGAAAGACAAATACTATGTGATATCATTTATATGTAAAATCCAAACAAAAAATGCCAAAACTCACAGAATGTTGGTTACGGGGGGCTGTGGTGTGGGAAACAGGAGAGATGTTGTTTAAGGGTACAGACTTTTAACTAATAGTAAACAGTTCCTAAAGATCTGATGCACATTATAGTGAATACAGACAATGGTGTTGTATTATAGTCAAACTTGCTTAGAGACTAGATCTTAATTTTTCCAACCACAATAAAGAAATAATGATTATGTGACATGATAGAGGTGATAACTACCGCTACAATGGCAATCATACTATAATATGTAAATGTATCAAGTCACCATGCTGTACACCTTAAATTCAAATAATATGTTAAATATATTACAAGAAAAAAAAGAAATGCAATAAGCATCATCAATGTCAAAACAGATCAAGCAGAAAAAATTTTCTGTGAGTTAGAAGACAGTAAGTTGAAAATATCCATTCAGAGGAGAACAAAGATAAAAAGAGTGAAGAATGACTATGTGATGTATAGATACCATCAAAAGGAACATTCTGTGAATTATGGAGTCTTCGAAGGAAAAGATACAGACAGAAGGCTTATTTAAATAAATAGTGGCCAATTGGTGCTTTGTGACAGCCTGGAGGGGTGGGATAGGGAGGGTGGGAGGGAGGGAGACGCAAGAGGGAATAGATATGGGAACATATGTATATGTATAACTGATTCACTTTGTTATAAAGCAGAAACTAACACACCATTGTAAAGCAATTATACCCCAATAAAGATGTTAAAAATAAATAAATAAATAAATAAATAGTGGCCAAGAACTTTCCAAGTTTTGGGAGAGATTTAGATATCCAAGTTCATGAAGCCCATAGGGCACCAGACAAACTTAACTCAAAAAAAATTCTTCTCCAACACATTATAATAAAACTGTCAACTATCAAAAACAAAGAATCTTAAAAGCATCAAGAGGAGATAAGGTCATAAGTTACAAGAGAATCCTCATAAGATTAAAAGTTGATTTCTCAGCAGAAACCTCACAGGCCAGGAGAGAATGGGATGATATTTTCAAATTGCTCAAAAAAAAACCCAAAAAACAAAACCCTAAACAAACAAAAAACCCTGCCAACCAGGCATATCCTATCCACCGTAATTATCCTTCTTAAAAGAAGAGATTAAAAAGTCTTTTCAAAATACAAAAGCTGAGGGAGTTCATCATCACTAGATCTGTCTTAGAACAAATTCCAAGAGTTCCTCAAGCTAAAATAAAAGGAAACTAAATAGTACCATGAAAACATGAGAATACACAGTAGACTTGTAAGTATATAGTTAAGGTAAGAATACTTCAGTAGTGTGATATGGTGGTGTGTTAACCAGTTAACTTTAGTATAAAGGGTAAAGGATGAGATTATTAAAATAACGGCAGCTATAATAATTTTAATGTATAAACAATATACAAAGAGGTAAATTGTAATACCATATACAAAAATTCATGGAGGGGAGTAAAAGAGTAAATTTTTTTGTATGTGATGGAAGTTAAATTCTTATCAACACAAAATAGACTGTTATATCTATGAGATGCTTTCTGTGAGCCTCATGGAACCACAAAGCAAAAACCTATATTAGATTCAGAAAATATAAAGAGAAGGAAATCATAACATACCACTATAGAATATCACTAATTCACAAAGAAAGGCAACAAAAGAGGAAAAAGGGAACAAGAAACAACAAAACATCCAGGAAACAATAAGATGGCATTGGTAAGTCCTTACCTATCAATAATTACTGTAAACATAAATATATTAAATTCTCTAGTCAAAAGTCATACAGTGGCTAGACAGATAAAAATACAAGATCAGCTTATGTGGGAAAAGAATCTTAAAAAAAAGTTGATACATGTATAACTGATTCACTTTGCTGTACATCTGAAGCTAACACATTTGAAATCAACAATACTCCAATAAAAATTAGGAAAAAAAATATAAGATCAAACTATATGCTGCCCATCAGCGATTCATTTCAGTGTTAAAAACACAAATTAAGCTCAAAGTGAAGCTTTTGAACAAGATATTCCATACAAGTGGAAACCAAAAGAAAGCAGTGGTAGCTAGTTATACCATACAAAATACACTTTAAACCTATTCTTCTCAACTTCACATTGAACATTCTCCAGGACAGATCATGTGATATGTCACTAAACAAGTCTTAGTAAATTTAAGAAGACCAATATCACTAAGTATTTTTTTAGTGATTCAGTTTTTTATATATATATATATATATATATACACACACACACATACACACATACATATATATATATACACATTTATACACACACATTCTTTTTAATATTCTTTTCCATCATGGTTCATCATAGGATACTGAATATAGTTCTCCGTGCTATACAGTTCAATCTTATTGTTTATCCATTCTATATATAAAAGGTTACATCTGCTAAACCCAACCTCCCACTCCATCCCTCCCCCAACCCCTCCCCCTTGGCAACCACCGGTCAGTCCTCTATGTCCGTGATTCTGTTTCTGTTTCATAGGTAGGATCATTTGTGTCATACTTTAGATTCTGCATATAAATGATATCATATAGTATTTGTCTTCCTCTTTCTGACTTGCTTGACTTACATACTAAGTATTCTTTTAACCTCAATGGTAAGAAAGCAGAAATGAACAACAGGACAGAGCCTGGAAAGTTTACAAATATGTGGAAATTAAACAACACGATCCAGGGACTACCCTGGTGGTGCAGTGGTTAAGAATCTGCCTGCTCATGCAGGGGACACGGGTTCGATCCCTGGTCTGGGAAGATCCCACGTGCCGTGGAGCAACTAAGCCCATGCACCACAACTAGCGTGCCTGCACTCTAGAGCCCGCGAGCCACAACTACTGAGCCCATGTGCAAAAACTACTGAAGCCCACACACCACAACTACTGAGCCCGCAGGCCACAACTACTGAAGCCCATGTGTCTAGAGCCTGTGCTCTGCAACAAGAGAAGCCACCGCAATGAGAAGCCTGTGCACTGCAAGGAAGAGTAGCCCCTGCTCGCCACAACTAGAGAAAACCTGCACGCAGCAATGAAGACCCAATGCAGCCAATAAATAAATAAATAAATAAAAATAAACAACACGATCCTAAAAAATCCACAGGCCAAAGAAAAAATTAAAAAATAAAAGGACTGAATCATGAAGAAATAAAACAATCTGAAGAGACCAAGGAGACTGAATCAGTTCTCAAAAACCTCCCAGCAAAAAACTACCAGGACTAGATGGCTTCACTGGTGAATTCTATCAAACTTTTTCTCTATCAAACTTTTAAAGAAGAAATAATTATTTTTAATTGGGTAAATCTTATAAATCTATTTGTGGATGATGCACTTTGTATTTTACAAATACACTAGGGGAGATATACACACAATGGTATAAAATAAGTTAGAGCTATTGGTTCTGAGTCTTTGATGCCTTGGAAAATATCACTTGAGTTGAGCTATATTTCAGAAATTTAACACAATTGAGCATATGTTAATATATGATTCTGGTAAACTTTTTGGAAAATACAGAGAAGTGATAAAGAAGAGTATGTCTGTTACATGAGCACAGAGTATAATGGAAATTTACAAAAACAAGCCTTGACTGATTACAACCTCCACTTGAAAAGCCAATATCTTTAGTAAACAAAGGGGACAATGTTCATTTTCCAAAGCAAACTACAAGCAAAGGAGAACTAAGAAGAAATTGGAGTTTCCAGATTTACCATGACGGTTTATGCACATTTCTCAGTGAATCACACCAAACCCTTACTAAACATAAAAGAAGTATATAAACTTCACAGCAGAGGAATCTTGCAGAAAGCACCTGAACCAATGAACGTCGGGTGTAATGGGACAAATCATTACCAGGTGACTGAAGCACACAAGACACATTATCCCTACTGTGGTATTCTGGGCGAAAATACATAAGAAAACCATAATCTGAAACTATCATGAAAAAATGTCAGTTTTATGCAAATTTCAGTCCACATATACCTCCCATGTTCTCTGACTCTAATAGTGTAATTAAATAGTCTTTCTTATCAATATTGTATATTGGGATTTTATTTATTTATTTATTTATTTGCGGTACGCGGGCCTCTCACTGTTGTGGCCTCTCTCGTTGCGGAGCACAGGCTCCGGACGCGCAGGCTCAGCGGCCATGGCTCACGGGCCCAGCTGCTCCGCGGCATGTGGGATCTTCCCCGAACGGGGCACGAACCCGTGTCCCCTGCATCGGCAGGCAGACTCTCAACCACTGCGCCACCAGGGAAGCCTGTATATTGAGATTTGAGAGCAAATCTCTCCTACTTTTTTTTTCCCCTACGACTCTGAGTTATCTGGACCGCTAATGCCATCCCACTTAAAAGTGTGTTAAGGGTTTCCCTAGTGGCGCAGTGGTTGAGAGTCCGCCTGCCGATGCAGGGGACATGGGTTCATGCCCCCTTCCGGGAGGATCCCGCATGCCGTGGAGCGGCTAGACCCGTGATCCATGGCCGTGGGGAAGATCCCACATGCCGCGGAGCGGCTGGGCCCGTGAGCCATGGCCGCTGAGCCTGCGCGTCCGGAGCCTGTGCTCCGCAACGGGAGAGGCCACAACAGTGAGAGGCCCGCGTACCGCAAAAAAAAAAAAAAAAAGTGCGTTAATCCTGTGGTGCTAAGTTGATGTTGCATTCAGACGTACATTAATCATTCCACTTTCTCCTTCTTTACTAATATCTCAACATCTGAAATTATCCCAGAGGGCGTTTGGGATATTAATGCCTTCCCATGTTGATCTTTCATAAAAGGAATAATTTCAATAGTTGAAGGTCGTTAATTCATGGTGAGAATTCTCCATGCTCTGTAGGGAGCCTGGATGCAGACAATAGGGAAAAGGCTCTGGAACACAGAGAAGTATTGTAAAGAGCTGACTATCATAAGAAGGAAAAAACAAGTAGCTGAAAACAACCTTGCTAGGCAGGAACATCAGAAGTAGAAAATGAAACGTTTGCAGGTTCTCAATCCATGACATTTCAGGAGAAAAAGCAGACACGGCCTCTGACCCGGGACAGGACGTTTACCTGAGCTGCCATCTTCTCCTCTTCTTCCTCCTGCTCTGGGTTGTTTTCTCATCGGTATTATGTTGAGGAATCAGGTCAGCATCTTGAGAATATACCTTCTGTGGCGTCAGCACAGCTCCTTCACCTGTTCCCACCACGCCCACAGGCAAAAGAACCTTGAAACGCTGATATGCCAACCTTTTGAAAAAGAGAGATTCGGGAACAATGAGCTCCTTCATGGAGACCAAACTGTGCGGTTTCTCTTTCCTGTCTATGTGTGCTCTCCCCTACACACAGGCCCCAAAACTCTGCCACAGCAGAGCGTAAGTGGGCTACACAGCCCTACCCCTTCCAATCCCATGTAGAGCAGACACCGATGCCTCCCCAAAGGCAAAAGGACGAAAGACTTGAAGCAACGCCCACCAATGAACCCAGCAGCCCTCGCGCTTAAACAGGGCCTAAGCTTAGAATCACCTGGAGTTAAAACAATGCAGATGCTCCCACGCAGATCGATAGACTCTGTGGGGAGCGCACAGGTGATGTTATTGCTAAATACTCACCATGTAATACTAGTGGGAAACTGCATGGGAGCCACGTAGCAAACATTTCTTCCAAAGATTTAAAGTGCTTACAAATTTGGGGGGAATCACGGCCCCACTCTAGATTATGATTCTCCTGTGAGGCTCATGAAATGGCATCTTTAACAAGTTTGTTGTTGGTGCAGATGTTACTCCTCAGACCCGTATCCAGTAGCACTGAGCTAGAGCTATCAGGCAGAGCACACCTGAGACCACTGAGTAGCGTGAAAGTTTGGGTTAAGAACTTCCAGAAGTGCAGGTTCCCTGGGCCTGATTCCTAGGGGCTGAGCCCCTCCTGGAATAGGTGTGGCCTTGCTGTTGCCTACGGGAGATGCTGCTGGGTTGGTGGAAATCACATGGTGGGTTTAGGGTTGTGTGAGGGGTGGCCCGTAGAAATCCACCCAAAGGCACCCTTAGTCCTCAGGTCCTTTAGCCCCCTCTCCTCTCAGGGCCCATTTGACCCACACGACTACCGGAGCAGGGCATGACCACCTGTCCTCAGGTGAGCTGAGACTCCCTACCCCCAAAGATCCAGAGCATGAAGTTGTTTGCATCACAGATTTGTTTGAAAATAAACCAAAGGCAGCAACGGAGGGTGGATTAACATTTTGTGTTGGGAATGGACAGAAGCCTTTGAAAATGATGCCATGAATGCATATTTGATGATTCACAAAGGAAGTCGTGATCTATGTTAATAAAGCACATTATAACTGAATCAACAGATCAGAATTTTTTTTATTGTGTGTCTATGTGTGCGTGTTATAAATTGTGATGCCAGAGTTTGTTCTCTCCCACCCATCCCCCTTACATATTTATACTTTCTCACATCTTTAAAGTGCATTGATTAAGGTAAAAATTAGAGAAAAGCATATCCATCTTTTCAAATATTCTTTGAGAATATTGAAGCTTTTAACTTATTTATTTAAAAATTTTAAATTTTTTATACATTTTTTAAAGGTTACTTTCCATTCACAGTTATTATAAAATATTGGCTATTTCCCCCAGGTTGTAAAATACATCTCTGAGCCTATCTTACACCCAATAGTTTGTACCTCCCACCTCAACACTGGTCACCACTAGTTCGTTCTCTGTATCTGTGAGTTTGTTTCTTCTTTGTTGTATTCACTCATTTGTTGTATTTTTCAGATTCCACGTAAGTGATATAATACAGTATTTCACCTAGCATAATACCCTCCAAGTCCATCCATGTTGCTGCAAATCACATTTTTTCATGGTTGAGTAGTATTGTGTTGTACATATATACCACATCTTCTTTATCCATCTGTTGATGGACACTTAGGTTACAATTTTGGCAATTGTAAATAGTGCTGCTATGAACATTAGGGTGCATTTAACTTTTTGAAATAGTGTTTTTGGGTGGTTTTTTTTTTTGTATATACACCCAGGAATAGAATCGCTGGGTTACATGGTAGTTCTATTTTTAGTTTTTTGCATCTTTCAGTATATCCCAATAAGTGTTTCATGCTCCACATACCAGTGTATTTGAACTTTTAAGTGATTTTTAAAAGAGGCTTTTTTTTTCCTTTGGCCATGCGGCTTGTGGTATATTAGTTCCCCAGCCAGGGATTGAACCCAGGTCACAGCAGTGAAAGCGCCAAGTCCTAACCACTGGACCACCAGGGAACTCCCAAATAAATTAGACTTTAAAATAAGGACTGTTAAAAGAGACAAAGAAAAAAAAAAAAAGAGACAAAGAAGGACACTACATAATGATCAAGGGATCAATCCAAGAAGATATAACAATTGTAAGTATTTATGCACCCAACATAGGAGCACCTAAATACATAAAGCAAATATTAACTGACATAAAGGGAGAAATTGACAGTAACACAATAAAAGTAGGGAACTTTAAAACCCCACTTATAACAATGGACACGTCATCCAGACAGAAAATCAATAAGGAAACACTGGCCTTAAATGACACATTAGACCAGATGGATATATATATATAGCACATTCCATCCCAAAGCGACAGAATACACTTCCTTTTCAACTGCACATGGAACTTTTTCCAGGATAGATCACATGCGAGACCTCAAAACAACCCCCAGTAAATGTAAGAAAATTGAAGTCATATCAAGTATCTTTTCCAAACACAATGCTGTGAGACTACAAATGCTGTGAGATTTTGATCACTGAAGAAATCAAACAGGAGATTAAAAAATACCTAGAAACAAATGAAAATGAAAGCACAACAATCCAACTCCATGGGACACAGCAAAAGCAGTTCTAAAAGGCAAGTTTACAGTGACACAAGTTACCAGGAAACAAGAAAAATCTCAAATGTACCACCTACCCTTACACCCAAAGGAGTGAGAAAAGGAACAAAGCTCCAAGTTTGTAAAATAAAATTTAAAAAACCATAAAGATTAGAGCAGAAATAAATAAAATAGAGATTAAAAATCGATAGAAAAGATCAATGAAACTAAGAGCTGGTTCTTTGAAAAGATAAACAAAATTTAGCAAGACTCATCAAGAAAAAGAAAAGAGAGGACCCAAACTGGTAAGATCACATATGAAAAAGGGGATGGTACCGCTGACACCACAGAAACACCAATGAGCATGAGACTACCATGAACAATTATATGCTAATAAAATGGACAACCTAGAAAAAATGGAGAAATTCCTAGAAATGTACAATCTACCAAGACTGAATGAGGAAGAAATAGAAAATATAATCAAATTACCAGTAATGAAAAAACAGAAAGACCTTCCAACAAACGAAAGTCCAGGCAGATGGCTTCACAAGTGAATTCTACCAAACATTTAGAGAACAGTTAACACCTATTCTCCAACTATTCAAAAAAGTGGCAGAGGAAATTGCAGAGTCAGGAATTATAGAGTTGGGGGAAATAGGTGCAGGGTCGTGAGGAAACTAAGGACACTAGATAACTGACGACTAGAACATTTGAGGGCGTTAGACATACAGGACACGAGACATGGGCTGAAGTCACTGGAAGGAGAGGAGGATAAAGGGCAAGAGAGAAGGAGGGTACGAAGGATAAAAGGCTTGGGAGCAGTAGAAGGGGAGGAGGTTGGGCTGAGAGCTCTGGAATCTGGGGGATAGAGGTTTCATGGGGATGGAGGTCTAAAATGCACAGGATGGACATGGGAGAGCAATAAAGAAGCCTAGAAGGGGAAGAATTCCTTATAGAGATATCTAAAGGTCACAGAGGCAGAGAGACTGAGGTCACAACGAGGAATAGAGGATGGTGGACTTGAGGGATGGAGGAGGGTGATGGTAGTTGCAGCAGGTGGATTAAGGGTCACTAACTTTTTCTCCTATTCACTAATTCCATGATTGGCATTCAAATCATAACCTAATTGTGAATAGTTTCTAGTTTGAGACCTTGAGGTAATAACCTTGCTTACATAAAATACTTGTGATAATCCCTTCAAATGAATACACACTAAAGGATTAGAGAAAAAAAAAATTGAGTGAACAATGACACAGTGTTTCTTCTCTCCTTTAGGGACACCAGATGCAAGGTGTGACCATGGAGGGCTCACATGGAAACCACCAGAATGAAATGGGTTCTGCCTAGCACCTGAATGGTCCTGGAAGTGGAATCTCCCATGGAAGCTGCAGATAAGAACCTATGCCTCAGGAGACCCTGATTTTTGACCTTGTAAGACCGTAAACAGAAAGCCCAGCCAAGACCACTGGATTTCTAACTTATGAACTGTAGAATGTTTTCTAAACTGCTTGACTGCCTAAGTGTGTGGTCATACGTTACGGTGGTCATACGTAACGGCACCGTATGTGGTCATACGGTGGTCATACGTTACGGCAGTGATAGAGAACTATTACACATAAGGACAAATTTAATTATAAAATAATAAACATTACAAAATATGAAATTATAAAATATTTAAACAAAATCAAGTAAAAATGCACATTAATTAACCACCCCCAGAAGCAATAAAATTTTATCTCCATGTAACATCATCAGTTCCAAATATATCCTCCTTCCTATGCAATTTCCATGTGTAAAAAACTACATTTGAATGTGTATAATATACATCCATATACACACAAACACTAAAATATTATGTACATGGTTCAATACTGACATACATATTGTCAAATCAAACTTTCTGTCAGTCAAACTGCTTTCCTTAACTAATGATATATGAAGGTGTTATTTTCTCACCAGTAGAAATGGATCTCCTGCATTCCCAAAAACACAGCATCATATTCCATGGTAATTATGAATAAAAAGTCTTTACTGAAACCCTCCTTAGTTATGCATTTACATAGACGCATCTGTTTTTGTCCTGCTATCACAGAATGTGGATCTCCGATTTCTACACATGTGGCTTACCTGGATAGTTCTGGGACATGAAACCGTTGCACCAACGTGACTGTGCATTTCTACGTTAGGTGGACAATTGCTAAATCACCTTGCAAATGGATGAAAAGTGTAATATCCCACCTACTGTGTTTCCAGTGTTAAAGTAATTAAACAAGGAGGCCATTAGGCTGAGTTGACTCTCATACTTTGGTAGTCTATTTAAGCAAACAAAACTTAATTCAGAGTCAAGGCACGTTAATCTGAGAAAATAAATTAAGCACAACCAGTCACACACAGCCAGCGAGGCTTTCCCAAACCAAGGTGACTGGTTAAGATACAATCAATTATTATCCTTGCTTTGATGTGGTGTCTTCTTTAGAAAAACCCCTCTCCGAGTTCCTGCAGATAAAGTGCTCCTAACCACCTTTGATTTGAGGCTGCTGGAACTGAACAGAGGTCGGCTCAAATGAACACTTAAAAACTGGAATGCTCATAAATTGACATTTTAACACACAGGGCCACATTTCATTTTGAGCACTTTCCTCGTCTAGTCCCTAAACACCTCGCTCAGGTGCAGCGTGGCCTGAGGACTCAGGGTGAAGTGTCTCCCCGCTCACGCCAACAACACACCAGCACAGCTGTGCCCTCACTTGACCAGACTCCACCCTTGATAGTAACACCACACTGCCTGTGCCGCCAGTCTCCCACCACGTGCTGAGCAGTGCACAGAGGACTTCTGGCACACACCAGCCCCTCCCAGGGCCAAAACATCCTTCACCAGCCCGGGGCTCAAGATAGCCAGCCTTGAATTCCATTTTAATGGTGCCCACACACCTGAGTTCGCAGTTCAGACAAGCTGGTACCACAATCTGTAGCACAGACCAGTTCTCCCTCTGACCCGTGTTGTCACCCCTTGGGTTTTGACAGCCTTCCCTTTTCTGGCCTCTTCTTTAGCCCAAACCTTCACACAGGCACACACAGGGAATGCAGGTGAAACGCATAAGGACTTGAATCTAGTACCTCTAACAATGCATATGACCCAAGAGCAGGCTGGAATCAGGGACTGGCCACCCAGAATCACCCTGAGTAATACAAACGCATAAGGTGCTGGTCAGTCCCACCTCTAGAGCAGCCCATCCAATGCCACAGATTCCTGTTTCATACTTCGGGCTTAATATTGTGGGAACAGCTCTGCTGCTTCAGAATTCCCACCCAAAATATAGTCCCTCTTTCAAAATCAGACTTGCAGAGCATAATAGTGAATGTCAGTTCATTCTGTTTAAAATGACCACTTAGGGAATTCCCTGGCAGTGCAGTGGTTAGGACTCTGAGCTCTCACTGCCAGGGCCCAGGTTCAGTCCCTGGTTGGGGAACTAAGACCCCACAAGCCATGCGGCCAAACCCTCCCCCCACAAACAAAAATAAATAAATAAGTAAAATGTCCACTTAAGCAACCAAAAAAAAAAAGTCCGGCCATGGCTCTGCCCCATTCTTTGGTCATGCTTTTTAGAGCAGCTCAGAGACCAGAGTTCCTGAAAACTCTGCCACCTTTGTGAATGGACCTGGCATTCACAATTTTTGATACTCAGACTCAGATAAAGGAGAGCAACAGACTTAAAATTTGGTGGGTAGATTTTATCTTTATCATCAGTGACAATGAACGAAAAGAGAAAAAGGTCATCTCTACTCCCAGAAAGGCAAGCCCGACATCTAAATCCTCCTGGGAAAGATGAACATAGAATCCCCACTTCCCAGCAGATTACGACAGTCAACTCTCATAATGGGAGGATGTTAGCACAGTGTCTTGAACACAGCGCATCCCCACATACCTGTGAGCATATAGTAGGTCCTCATGAAACATTCCTTTCATGAATAAATAAATGTTGTTTCCCCGTAACAGTCTTACTCAGACCCCACTGCTTTCTCTAGTCCCCGCTCAGTTCGGAAGTGGTGAGCAGAGAATGTCATCTTTTCAGAAGTTGTGAGTGGTCTTCACTGGGAACAAGCCGTATTTGTGTTCAGATAGGGTGGTTGGGTGTAAGGCACTCAGGTGCTTCCTTGATTTCTCTAGATTAACGCTGGGGGAAATGAGGTCTGGGAGAAGCAACTTCAGTGGTCGCTCAAAGTGCAAATTAATGACCTTCATCCCAGACTTGGAAAGTCATAACCTCCGAGTGTGGGCCCCAGTATCTGTTTTTAATGGGATCCGTAAGTGATTCGTAGAGACGTGAAATTCCGATGAGCAATGTTCCCCAAAGTCATTTTCAGCCTGACTCGCCATTGGGATCATTTGTGTATTTTTTTTAGAACTACCACCCCCTGTGTCCTACCCCCATAGCTTCTGTCAATTAGTCTTTGGCAGGGCCCAGGATCTTAATGGAGTGGCCCAGGTTAAACCGTGAGACTGGGTAAACACTGCGAGGCTCCCAGGTTCATTTCTGATGACCTAGTACAGGGTCTGGTCCATGGGGAAGCCTTCTCTACATAGACTTGAATGGGGGACGGTCAGTCTATCTCATGTTCCCAGGGTTGTAGTGGAATGTGTACGTGTCTCTAGGAGACAAGTACCTCCAGAGACAAGGGAGGAGAAACTCACATAACTCCATAAAAGAACCTTATTATGTGCACAACTTTTCCCAGGTCCCCAAAAGCAATGGAATTTTTAGTCAGAACATGCAGACCCTCAGAGGCCATGGCTCTGATTGGCTCTCACTCTGACTGCCATGGAAGGTCACTGAAGAAAAAAGAAAACCCTTAGAGCATTTAGGAGCAGGATACAAGTGGAGCAGGATAAGTACCTCTGTGACAGCAAGAGACACACACCTGGGCTTCTCAAAATAATTTCCACTGAAGCAGAGCTTCCTCCTTCATCTTTGGACATCACCCCTGTGCTCTCTGCTTTATTCATTCCCACCTACCTGGGTGTATGACTGTTGTCTCCTTTTCTTCACATCCCAGGGCTCTTTCCTTTGCTCAAAAAAGGTGACCAGGTTCAGCTTAGAGACAGCAAGACCTGTTTATTAAAAAAAGGAACATGACTCATCCCAGGAATTCTACACTTTCCAGTCCAGTATTGTGTTCAATAGAGAAGAGAGGACACTGTAAGTTATAGAAAATTACTTCACCAAATGGTATTTCCTGACAGCCCCTTTAAAACACTTAGGAAGCATTTCTAATTTGCAGATCCTTAACTCTACTTTCAAGTACTACTCAATCAAAAATAAGGAATGGATAGCCAATTTTACGATGTGGGCAACAATATCTTGTTTCATTTTATAAACATCTAGAATGATCACTGATCTAGAGTGAAAGATGCAGATCAACTCAAGAAATGAGAATGACAGAAGAAACATCGTGAAGACTTTCTTTGCATCAACAAATCCCTATTTCCTTGAAATGATTTCATTTATTTGTGCTGATTATATTATAGCATTTAGGATACTTGAACATATACTATAGGACTCTTGTGTTCTTTTCCTGAAGATACAATAAGTAATAAATAAGAGAATTACTGTGAAATGACAGTGGAATAAAAAGGAAATTTACAGAACATTTACTACCAAAAGCCTGAACAAAAATGAGAGGCTTCATTTTCCAAAGCAATCTACAAGTAAAGGGAAATGAAGTAGACAGGGGGAGTATTCGCATGAAATGCAATGGTTTATACACATCTCTCAGTAAATCCCTCCAAGACCCTATTAATGATAATTGGAAAATTATTAGCTTTCCAGTTGAATCTGGCAGACAGCCCCTGAATCAAGTGAACAAAATTAACATCAGTTTTAATGGGACAAATTGCTATCAGCTGACCAATGCACATGGGATTCATCATCATTGCGGGGATAGTTTTGCAAAATAGCAAACCGAAAAACATGAATCATACGAACAGGGTTAAGCACGTTTAAAACCACATATAACTCTCATGTCCTGTACTCTTGTGTATTTTAAATAGTAAGTCTTTCCTTGAGGCAATTGGGAGCTCTCTTTTTCAGAACTTTGGGTTATTCGGGGCCATATAGCAATCAGCTTTATTGGTGCTTTTTCATTATCCTTGTCTGCATAGTCTGATGCTGCATTCCAGACAGGACATATACATTACATGTTCTCCTTCTTCAAGCATATCCCCGGACCCAACCTCATATTCAGCGGGCATCTTGTGTATCAACACATCCCCAAGTTGATATGACAAAAAGGGAACATTTTCAGCATTTGCACATCAGTAATACGTGGTAGGAATTCTTTATGCTCTAAAGGGAGCCTGGATGGAGAAAAGGAGAGAAGGCGATAGGATGTAAGAGAGAAATATCCTAAAAATCTAACCTTGGCTATCATTAGGAAGAAAAGTATTGAAAACAAATTTGTTAGGCAGGACCACCAGAGGTAGAGAAGTAAATGTTTGCAAGTTCTAAATACATGGGATTTCAGCAAGAAAAGGGGACACAGCCGCTGACCTGGGTCACAGGTTTTACCTGAGAACCTGCCATTTCTTCCTCTTCCTCCTCCACTTCTAGGTTCCTTTCTCAGGCAATATTATGTAGATATATGGCACCTGTACATCTTTGAGGGCATCAGCACAGCGCCTTCACCTGCTACCTCCACTCTCAGAAGCAGAAGGCCCCTGAAATGCAGAAAGACCACGTTCCCCTCTCCCTTAATACGTGACAGATTCAGGAAGAAATGCGCTCCTACATGGAGGCCAAGGATATTCTCCTTCCCTGTTTGCATACGCCCTTCTGTCTCACAGTCAGCCACAAATGTTGCTACAGCAATAGCGTATGTGGGATGCACGGCCCTGACGCACCCACACAGACTCCATTACATTTCCTTGAACCACAGGCTGGACTCAACTCTCAGTATCTCTACTCAACACAGTTGAGAGTTCATATTTCAAAACCAACGACAAGCAAAGGGAAACTAAAAAGAAATGGCATTACCACATTAACTGAAGTGGATTATGCTCATCCTTCACTATTTCTAAGACCTTTATTAAAGATAAATGGAAAAAACATGAACTTCTCAGCGATGGAATCTCAAAGAAAGCACCTGAACCAGTAAAGGTCAGATGTTATAGGATACACGGATAGCAGATGACTGAAGCCCAAAGGACACAATATCACTGCTTGGGCATTTTTGGCAAAAATAAGGAAATCATAACCTGAATCGATCATGAAAAATGTCAGTTTTATGCAAATTTCAATCCATATAAACCTCCCATATGCTCTATTCCTAAAAGTTCATGTAAATAGCAAGCCTTTCTTAACAACATATAAATTGCCTCTCCTACTTTTTTTTTCAAAACTTTATGAGGGATTCAAGATTACTACGGTCATCCTGTTTATATGTGCAATTTCTCAATCCTGTTTCAAATAGAATATTGTATCCAGATGTAAAGTAATCACCACATTTTCACCTACTTCCCTAAAATCCCAACACCTAACTCCATCCCAGTGGGAATCTTGGATACCAATACTTTCCCTTGTTGATGTCTCACTAAGGGAATATTTTCAATACTTGAAAGTTATTAATTCATGGTGATAATTCTTCATGCTCTATAGGGAGACTGGATGCAGACAGAGGAGAAAAGGCTCTGGGACAGAAGAGAGTATTTTAAAGAGCTGATCGTGACTATCAGAATAAAAAACATAAGTAGTTGAAAACCACCTCACTAGGCAAGAAGTCAGTAGAGACTTAATGATTTGTATGTTCTCAATCCATGGCATTTCAGGAGGAAAAGAGGACGCAGCCTCTGACCCAGGACAGGACGTTTACCTGAGAAGCTGCCATTTTCTCCTCTCTTCTGCCTGCTCTGGGTCGTTTTCTCATCAATATTATGTTGAGGAATTAGGTCAGCACCTTGAGAATATGCCTTCTGTGGCATCAGCACAGCTCCTTCATCTGTTCCCACCATATCCACAGGCCAAACTTTCAAAGCCGACTTTGAAGTCCTGAAAAGGCCAGTCTCTCCTGTTCTTTGTCTAAGGAGAGAGTCAGGAACAAACAGCTCCTACATGGAGACCAGCTGTGAATTTGTTCTTTGTTGTCAACACGTTGTCTCCTCATAAATGTCCCAAAATACTGCTAACACAGGGTGTGTGGGCTGCACTAACGTTCCCCTTCCAAACCCCTGTAGAGCAGACTGTTGCTTCTCCTTAGACTAAAGCCTTGCCTCAGCTCTCACAAGTGTACCCAGAAGACCATGTGCTTAACCCTGATCTCTCTTTGGAATCACCTGGAGCACTTAATTAAAGCAACACTGAAGCTCCCACAGGACCAACAGACAGGTTCTCTGGGGAGCACACACGTGATGCTAGTTCTTAATACTGATCATGTGATCCTAATGGGAATTCAGTTATATATTGAATATATATATAATCCCTATATATATATATATTTATATATTTATTTTTATTCTTGGCTGCATTGGGTCTTTGTTGCTACACACGGGCTTTCTCTAGTTGTGGTGAGCAGGGGCCACTCTTCATTGCAGTGCACGGGCTTCTCACTGTGGTGGCTTCTCTTGTTGCAGAGCTCAGGCTCTAGGCGCGCGGGCTTCAGTAGTTGTGGCTCGTGGGCTCAGTAGTTGTGGCTCGCAGGCTCTAGAGTGCAGGTTCAGTAGTTGTGGCGCACGGGCTTAGTTGCTCCACGGCATGTGGGATCTTCCCGGACCAGGGCTCAAACCGGTGTCCCCTGCATTGGCAGGCGAATTCTTAACCACTGCACCACCAGGGAAGCCCAATCCCTGTATATTTTGAATGGCCATCTCACATGCTGTTTCATTTCATGCAGCTTTTCCTACAATTCGGGGCGAGTTTATTTCTAGGAAAATGTATTATTTCAGATAGATAATTGCACAGTCAAAACTCCTCTCTAATCCCCAGATTATTTAAGAGACTTCTGCTTAACACTGACTAGATTCTGAAGTTCCACTACAAGCATTAATAAAGTGATATTTACATAGGTATTTATATGTTAATCACACGATAATGCATTTACAGTTGTATTATGATTTATTGCTTCTTTTGGAGCATAAAATTGCCTTATATGCCACTCTCTTGTAAATGACGGTTTAATAATTATACTTAGGAATTACAGAGGAATGAATAAATTAAAAACTGACCAATGTGCAAATACAATCAATTTATATATATCTCACAAGATTAGGAAATTCTCTAATTATTATAAAAAAATAAAGGGAGTTCCCTGGTGGGCTAGTGGTTAGGATTTGGCGCTTTCACTGCCACGGCCCAGATTCAACCCCTGGTCATCAGGGAACTAAGATCCCGCAAGCTGTGTGGCATGGCCAAAAAAAAAAAAAAAGCCTGGATTCTCTGCAGTTATGAATCAAGAGAATGAAGGGGATTAGAGTTAAGAAACAGACTGTAATCAATGCAGCAGATTTCACCATCCCCCAGCTGGGATTATTAAAAGGAGCCAGAGAAATGTGAAATAGGGAAGAGAGGGTTGCAAAGACACAAAAGAGCTCATCAAGACTGGAATGCTTTGGGTGGCTCTAGATTCAGGGCAGGAGGAATCTAAGGGAGACGTTAGTCCTCTGGATGTGTTGAACCTGCTGCCTGTGCCTATTCAAGATGAAAACCATAGAAACATGGATCAGATCATGAGCACCTAACGTGAAACATCAGGGAATAATAACAGTCCTACAGCCAATAAGATGGTGATTCTGTTATGAAATAAAGCATAAAAGAATCCCAAATCCTTTTTCTGGTAACAAACCTAGCATAGTTAACCACTATGATGTACTTACAAATCTAGTTAGCTGTGTTCTTCCAATAGCTTATGTATATATTTATCTGGTATCCTAACTTGTCATCATAGTTTAAGTTGGTGGTAATTTATTTTATTGAGTACTGATGAGTTTCCATTTAGGTATAAAGATTTATTTCATAGCCCAATATCAATTATGCAAAAGACTTAGAGATTAACTTAATGTAGACGCTTTCATTGCAATACTACAGAAACCTGCCACATGACCAAGTTGGACTTAGTGAACGCAAGACAGGCTTAATATGAGGGCTGTTACAGAAAGACTTCTTTGCTTCTGTGCCTGAACAAAATGTAATTCCACCTAACAGGAATTGTTGAATGTCACAGTGTGCCTTAAAGTAGTTGTTATGAATCACTAATATTAATAAAATTGTGCAGGGTAGAAAAATATCACTAATTTTACATCATATGCTTATCAATTTATTAATGCAAGAGTGAAGTAAAACTATTAGCAATGAGGAGAGATTTGCCTTTTATGTTATTTTAACATACATGATAGTTATGCAAAAATGGAACCTCTCGTGTAAAGTCGGGTGCATTTTATTAAACTGGAGTCATATATTTTTGTTGGTAGACTTTTTAAAACAGAGCAAATATCACAAGATACATTTGAGCCTGACTTCTGTTCTCTGAAACACATTATTATATATTTATATTTCCTTAAGGCTTGACTCCTTTTCTTCAAGAGGGAAGACCATCTCATCAAAATGAACAGACCATTGACATTTGCAGTAGAAAAAATTCACTGTCTCCATTAAAGCACTTCATACACCCTGAGTTAGAGAACACATTTCTGTTCCAGCAACCACCATTTGGATACATCATTTCTGCACAGGACATAATGGTTTACGTACATTCATCTTACTCTTTATTATAAGCACGTGGTGTTACAGGCATATACCTGCAGTAATCCTGAAAATTTAGTCTCTGATTCCAGTAATTAATATGAACAATAGATTGGTTTCAATCTGTTGAAACCAATTAAAAGTATATTAAAGAGTACGTTAAAAAGTATATTAAAAGATTATATTAAATGTCCGGTTGAAGTGTTACTTGGATTCAACACCAAGAATCCCCTGTGATTTACGGCGAGCGTCATTGCGAATTACACTTAATTACATTCGAAGCATAACGGATTGATGTAGGAACTATAATCTCAATCTCTCTTTGCTAGTTCAGCTCAAGCTTCAGAATTATTTCATCTTCCTGTGTGGCTTTGGCACTGGACCGGAATGAAATTCTGAAGAATCACTTTTTCTGACATGAGCACGTACCTAAATTCCTGATAAGCTTCCTTCCATGGACAGTCATCCTTTCAGACTGAAAGAAAAAATTGTCACCGGACTCCTTTCTGTGCCAGAATGGTGGGCTCAGTGTGGTCAAGACAGCCAGTACTTATGTTGGAAGGCGGCAGTCATAAACCTAGGTGCGGTTTTGTGATTGTGGGACCTCATCTCCCTGCAGTACGGCAAGTATGCAATGAGAGAACAGTTCTGGGAAACGGAGGGTATTTGTGAAAAATTTTACCCTCGTCGTTAATTACCAAAAACTACAACCTACTAGTCTAGTTATTTCCAAGGAGATTATTGAAGAGTTTTGAGAGACTCCTTTTTTTTTTTTTTTACTTTATCCCAAAAGTAAAAGTCAGAGTCTCATGTGAAGGAAGCAGGAATTACTGAGTTGGCTATGGAAACCGGAAATACACAGGAGCCTGGAAGATCCTATAGAGGCTCAAATCAAAAGTCTGGTGGCACATCAAGGGGAAGGAGAGCTAAACTGAAA